TATGTAAATAGCTCATCAGATGTCGTAGGAAATCTCAAGATGCTCTAATCTTTTTGTATTTTGAAAAATCTGTTAAACATATTACTTGGAAGAGCACAAGAAACGACGACGAATGTATTATATGCGGATTCCGAAACTCTTGCATATTTGCGCCCACTACTCCGATACACCGAGCTAGAATTCATATCGGCTGCGGACGTGACAGAACACTTTTTTTAAACTTTAGAAGAAAGTTAAATCCGCCGTTTTTAGGGTAACACTAATTTTAAGACTATTACACAATCTGACCACTATTCATTCCATCACATCTGAATTTCGTTTGTAAATAAACAAAAAAAATGGTAGCAATTTCAGTGCGGACTTTATAACTTGTTTACATTATGGTGTTTATGCTCATATTTGTCTCAAGACATTTACATGCTTCCAGTTACAACTCTTTCACTTTTCTAAGGCAATTAATAAATTTTTTTGCAAAAAACGGGCAAAAATGGTTCGAAAGCTATCCGGGGATCGGGCATTTCTTGTGACTTCTCTTTTGAGGAATTGAAGCGCTGAACGGATAAAAAGTAATAACCTGAACGCGTGATATATGAAGATTAAAGCAGTGGCAATGCTATCTACCACCAACAACTTTGCATAGAAGAGTTTTAGTACTCCGTGATATCAAATGTAATACAAAGTCATAAACGCCATGACAAGAAAACACACAGTTTTCTCTTATAACTAGTAATTGCTGTGTGCCCAATGCTGTGAGTTCTGGCTGGTGTAGGGCGCAATATTTTTAATTTAAGTTGTATGCTTCACCTTTAAATTTTGCGAACATTGACAGCTTATTCCTTTAAAAGATCGCTCTCTGCTTTTTACTGTATATTACAAGGTACAAGTCTCTGCCGAATTGCTTAAAGAATTTCTTGCTTATTAAGCTGAAGGGCACAAGGTTCCCATAACTTTTTCCTTTGATGTGTGGGAAGAGTGCTCTTTTTCAACTAAAGAATGAAAAATTTCTGATAAAGTTAAGTTAATGAAAGCTTAATAAGATGGATTATGGCTTGTGCTTTGTTGTAAGTCCGCAGCAATCGCGAAACAAGTATATTATGGGGTTAAAGTGAAACGAAAAACTAAAAGAAAATAAATTTTTAATCCGATCGTTACGTAGAAATATGTCCAATTTTGATGGAGGAAGATGCCGATGTAGGGTCCAAGAGATAAAGAATTTTCGTGAAGACGAACCCACGCATAGTAGTTATCATTGGAAAATACTTTGAGCTACTTTTACTATTGTTATACAAAATAAGCGACTTTTTGGTGAAGACATCGGCAAAAACTTATTAATACACTTAAAGCATAACTTTCTTGAATATGAAACTTTCTAAAGCAAATCGAGGCAATTAAATATTTTTTTACTTTTTTTAAATTAAATATATATATGTTTATGTCAGAGATGTAAAATTTGGTTATATGTTTACCACATTAAGCTCTGATTTTTGAAGTATCTAAAGACCGTATGCTCTCTAGGTTTGCCGTTATAAAGGAATATGGCCGACAATTTCAAAGCATCCTTGTTTCTTTTTTGTTAAGTATGCGGTGTGTGAATAATTAAATATCTAATTATAACACACACACACACACACACACACACACACATACAGACTCTTGCTTATATGCATACTCAAACAATCATAGCATTACCACAACGTGCTTTAACACATGTGCCCGTTACGTTAGGCTGTTTCGACATATAATATGAATATAAAGTTAAATGTTATGAAAGTCTCTTTAGAAATTCAAGCTAGAGGAGAGTGGATAACAGAGACAGCTACATGATTGTTATCATTTAATTAAACTTAATAATTAATAAGGCCACAACTTTGTTTGCCTAACATCTGCAGATTGTTTGAAATTTTCTTTAACGAAAATTAATATTCACGAGCTGCATACACGACGACGAGGATTGTATAATGGGTTTCTTTAGAGAAAGTTTACAAGAGTTCACTTATGAATAATGTTTGCCTTTTTTGTTTTGTTTTTTTGAATATTACGACTTACCGCAACACAAGAAACGAAGCGATAATTCAAGCTATATAATGTGAAGTAATTAGAAATGATTTTTCTAAAGTAAATCAAACTCCTTCTCAACTATTTTTAGTTTTTCTTAATTCCAGCTTAAGTGAAAGAAACGTAAAGAAATCTAAAACACTTTGAATTTGATCATATTTCCTGCTATTTTTTTTTTTTTTTTTTTTTTTTTTTTTTTTTTTTTTAGATTACGTACACGGAGAAACAAACTATTTTGATATCATTCGCACAACAAACAACCGTAATTTTTCAATAAATTCGATGATGATGATGATGATGATGATGATGATGACGTTGGCGATGATGATTATGATTATTCAAGTTAAGTAAGAAACGCTAATATTGCAATTTAAGAATAAATTGAAAAAGACACTCAGCATATTAATGAAAACAAAGGCGAAAGTTTGATGCGAGAAATGTAACGCAATAACCGATGTTTAGACCGCAACTGATTTTGATAATTCACAGAACTAACGTAGAAAACATCAGGAATGCGACAAATGTTTGACAACAGTCTCAACGGAGACAATCTGTCTGTCTGCATGCGGTGGCGACCTAAAAGAAGAATTGTAGCAAAAACATCACATAAATCCACCCACGTTCGCTAGTTTTACTAGTCTCTCCTATCATTGGAACGGTTGTTAGTAAGTAGTGGAATTTTGCAATTCATTCATTTTCATTTCATTGAATTCAAATCAAAACAAATACAAAGGTTGCGTTTGAACTGACAAGATACGAGTTCCTTATCCTCTCATTTGTTGTGAATGGACAGGCGCGCTGTATACAATTTACTCTGTTGTTGATGCAAGAGTGTTTCTCTTTAAAATTTTGTAAAAGATTTATTCGAAAGGACAATTGGAGCAAATCACTTATCGAGTATTCAGTTTGAAATGGAAACCGTTAGCGCGAAATATTTCCACTCACAGCAACGGAATACGAATAACTTATAAATGCTCTTAATTTGTTCATTTTCAAAAAGTGTCGACATATCTTTGTTAAGATTAGAAACTACGACCGCTAATGAAACTTCTTATCCAGACAAACGACAGCTGACTACAACTTTGGATCGAATTTTTTGAAAGAACCAGATTGTTTGAACTAGTGTGATGTCACGGCAATCGCTGAGAACATTAATTTTTTCGTTTTAAAATCCCATTCATATCAGCGGGGATGCCCAAGCTGGGCCAGTCAATTGAATCTTCACTCTTTTAGCAGTGTTATTGAAGCAAGTCAAAAACAATTTCTTCTGTTTGTCCAACGTGAGTTAGGACGATACTAATATAACGTTACTCTTCCTTAGGAGGATACTAATAAAACCTTACTCTTCCGTTGCTCTTGATCAATTTACCTTTTCATGAGCGTAGAAGACTAATCAAGGAGATATTTCGTCATCACTGTTAGTTAGTAAACTTGTTTTTTTAATATTCACTTCGGCATCCGATGAAATTTTCTTCGCTCTCGGTTACCTCAAATTAAGACTAATTATAAATTGTTTTTTCCCTTACCGCCTGTTATGTAAGCAATAGACAATTCCAATGATTATACGAAGACGCTGTTAATTATCTTACGCGATTAACACTGCCACTATATATGGGTCAGTTCGTCTTTGATACTCTGGATATAGATTGGTGCATTATCGTTGAGCATTTTTTTATGATTCTATTAATACTTTTTATCTCATATTTAACTGTTAATGGTATTGAAAATGGGCGTTATAATGGCAGTGCTGTTAATGAACTATTTATTGTATACGAGACCTAAGTTTTACTATCCACGTTATTAGTTACTAGATTAACTTTCTTGTTAGATCCTAATGAAATTATTGAGTTTAGTACCGAGAGTTACAATAGTTAAAAACCCAGATTAAGTAACTGCCAGTGTATTATAAGCATTTATCCTAATTCTGCTTGACAAAACCCATCTAAATTGTATTTCGTTTATGAGATTCTATATTGACGGTATATTAGCTAATAAATATTTCATGTGTAAGAATAAATATATAAACGAACTTGTTACGCGCGAGCTCTATCGATTAAAGCGAGTCTCTTCGAAAGAGGGAATCGAAAAACATATTGGAAAGTAAGATAGAAAAGTGCTTTCGAGTAGAAACTAAAGGATACCTGCTACAATCAGTCCCATCTGAATTCGAGTTTGCACACACTCTCATACCTTGTAATAGTACTTCTGGAAGTACAATGATATAATTGGATATACAAAGCTTCATCAACCACCATGACCCCTTGTTAAGTCGACTTTATTATCAGCTAAGGAGACACCTTCCAGACAAAAAAAATATGCTGAAGAAAACCACTGAAGAAATACGAAAGAAAGAGGCTTTGTCGGCGGAGCAAAAGCAGAAAAGTGCCGTCGAGAATTGACGAAGATTATTATATAACAGAACCAGTGCAGAACTTTAGCCCGCCTTTAGGTTTGCCTTTTGAGTAGTAGCTAAAGATTTTTGTAAAAGGATTAATTCTTGCTCGGCCAGGCAGTAGCAGGGCTCTTCATTAGTCGATTTTAAGGCACATGATCTAAAATCTATTAAATCGGTCTCTTTGCTTAGAAGAGGAACGTAGAGTCAAGCGAATAAACAGTATCACGCCTCACAAGCATGTTACCAGCCCGAGTGGTAAAAAAGAACTTATAACCAGAAACACACGTTGATCTTGCGTTCTTACAACCCTAGCATTTTAAGAGGAGTTGGGCTCGTCTGTGATGCTATAAATCTTCTTTTCCGAACGACTCAAAGCGTCTACCGTAACCGTGAGCATTTCGCCCCGTCTAAAACACACATATAAAATCAAGGATATTCTGTATTTTCTATATATCAATTTGCGGGACATACACACACAGATGAAAAATTGCATGCAATTCCTTGATTCTTGACGCGATATTCTGTTATAAAATATAAAAAAAAAAACACCTTAGACAAATTTTTGCGTACGTTCACCACTACCCAATATACTGTATTCTGTTTTTTTGGGTAACTGGTCCGCAGGTTCGTACACCAGATCGTTTTGAAAATGACTTGTATCATAATCGATTGTGGTCTTAATTGGCTCAATATAGTTTTGACGCACTTCAGTAGTCATACCGGAATAGGGCACCGATTTTACTTGACTGGCAAACTCGCAACGTCGTTTAACACATTCATCTGCAGCGAATTTATCGCACTGCTGAACATCTTTGTGGCGAAATACGTTCTTTCTGCGAAGTTCAATATCTTTCCAATTCCAAAATGTTATATTATCGTGGGCACCAATACCTTGCATTATATCGTTGGGAGACCGATAACAATAATCTAAACGTTGAGTGGTAGCTTGGGGATCCAAGTACTTGCTATAGCCGTGCATATTACGATCCACGGTAACAATAGTTGAACCGACCGGAGCTGGTAATAGTGGATAGACTGGTGCTAAATTTGAATGCTCTGGGTTCCATGAGAAATCTGAGCGTGTTACACTTGTAGCTGGTTGCATTGGACGTTTCAGAAATTTTAGTTTCATTTCGTAGCATGTTTTCATATTTTCCATTTTCCTAGGTAAAGTTGGATTACGGTCTTCATAAGGATCAGCGAACTTCCACACATAATTGGCCTTATAATCACTAGTACGTTGTTTTACTAACACTTCATCCTCGACAAAGTGGCGGGATTCATTAATTTTGGCATGAATTTTATTACCATACATAGTGTCATTGATGTACCGATTACCCAGATAGGTGGAGGTACGCATATCTTGCTGTTTAGGCATCGGCTGCTTGTAATCAAGGGAACCGAATTCATCCAGCTTGCTGGTGTCGCGTTTAGTAAGGTTCGGCATTTTGATATGGAATTTGAATACACTTGTGCTTTCTTAGGACTTTGCTTAAATGTCCAGCAGAAGAACTGGTAAATAGCTTTAAAAAAAATATATTGCAGATCGACTTATAATATATTATAATAATGTATTTTAATCTTGTCAAGAGAGGCGAACATACCATATCTTCATTGAGGACAATGGTTGCCATGAGATTTCTAGAAATTATTATTATCTTCTGCAAGAGAGAAGAGAATTTTTGGTCGTTTCATAATACTGATTAGGTACACGCTTGTAGGCGACATTTTTCAATTTTTTTTCAAAAAATCAATCAATCGTAGGTATCAACAAAGCCATATAAAGCACGTTTTCCGCACGTTTACGCCTGATCAATACGTATTGCGGCCATCTTCATATACATATATATATGGGTTCTCGCCCTTAACGCATTAGGAAAACTCTCTCTTAAAAAAAAATTGACCACGCCCACCCGATATTATGGTATATCAAAGTATAATTTTTTTTTAGCAACCTGATCCCTCAATAAACCCATAAAGAATCTAAAATCTTGGTCAGATCCAAATTCGGAACGTACCGAAACATGTCCCTCAATCGGCGGTCCATCAGCCAATTATGTATCTGTGGTAAATATCGTCACGATCGCAAATCAAATTTGTAAGAGAATTTAAAAACGACCCAAACTGGTTGGAAGACACGGTTGCATTGCCCACGCGCCTATGCACAAAAACTGTGTTTGCTTTCTGCTATTTTTGCTATTTACTCATGAAGTACAACACTGCTACTGAGTTTGGCAATTTAGTTCTTTTCGTTTTTTTAGTACAACGGTGGAGGGTATAAAAAATTCGGTCACGACCGATTATAGTTTTTTTACTCGTTCATTTTGACATTGTTCCTTTGAAGTTGTTGTTGGAGTGAATTTTACCTAGTAGTTTACCTAGTATTTCGAGTCGGGGAAGGATGTTAAAAGTCTACCGTATAGGAATAAAGCGAGAGATATGTGTCTTATTGGCATGTTTTTATATCCTATTAATTCTACAAGACAATCTTTCTCTTCGATTTTATGAAAACCTCTTTGGTCCGTTTCAATTTTATTCCAATGCCCCATTTATTTGCATAAGTCTGACAATCGAAGGAACCAAAAGCAGCGTCATCTTTTCCTCCGTACTGCGTAAATAGTTCTGTCGTCCAAGGAAGCGTCCAGGGACGCCTGCGTTTACTTATTTTTTCCTACTTACTTGAAAGTTTACCATAACTGATTTTCGTGCTTAAGCTGGTAATGGTAATAAAACAAATTTGTGAAGGGAGTAGGCTTCAAAGAAAACTTCATGGTCTCAATCGATATTTCAAGGTTTTTGGCTATAGAAAGCCAAACTATCTGCTCGGAATCTTATCTCGTTAATTGCAGCATTCCTTGCCTTGTAAACGTTTGCCAATGCTCTGGCGGCTATAATAGGAGCGTTAGCTTACTTACCCTTCGTATTGCATAATAAAAAGCATATTCACCTCATTTAGTTTGAATTGCATCGTTGCAAAGACCTTCGAAAAGAAAAACGAAGCCAATAAAAAATTGAAGAGTCGATAGATACACAGTTAGGCGAAGGAAGAGAAAGAAAGAGTTTAGGAAACGTTGCCAAGAGAATTAAGTCATTAAATTCTATAAAGAACTGAAGTCCTCATATCATTGCTTTTGTGGGAATTATACTTAATAAATTTTGCAAAAAGATCTTAATCCTCTTTACGGTTTAAAAGTAACAGATAGTTTTAATTCCTTAAAACAAACGCACGCCAATCTGCTGGGATGAGTTTGTATGTGGTTTTGCGACTATTTAATATACAATCATGAATTAAACTGGAACAGTAGTTAGGATGCTTAGCAAGGCAAACAAAGCAAAAAAAAAAAAAAAAAAAACAATAAAGAAAAAACAATAAAGAAAAGAGAAAAGTTTTACAGCAGCAAATATGGGCAAACTTCTACCTACGCACATAAATAAATGCATATGTAAAGGCTGCTCAGATCTCCTTTACCTTAAAGTGAAACATTTTCAAAACACGTTGATACATATGCATGAGCAATAATTTTATGGTTTTTGGTCGCAAGCGTTTTATGTTTTTCAACTCTAACACACACACACACACACACAACTTTATGTTGTTTATTGTTTTTGGCAGCATTGTGTGTTTGTTTTTTTGAGAAGCAAAACGCATGCGAGGAAAAACTTTTAATCCTTTTGTTAAAAAGGAAACCTATAAATTGCAGTAATTTTCGCCTGAAGTCAAATGTTTGATATTATTTTGGGGAAAAGTTCTACATGTTTGTTGTGCATTGTGCATTACTGAAACCTGATTGGACAGAGTACAAGATATTATTGTTTTAATATGTATTCCAATGAAAAGAGTAAGGTGTGTATTCTTAAGAGTACACAGAATATGGAACTTGTGTACGTCAGAAAATAATACCTTATGAATATCAAACTTCTGCTTCCTGTTTTTTTTTTTTGATGAGATAACAATATCAATAGTGGTTATCAAAACGGTTACATCAGTCACAATAATGGCGCCATTGGTTTAGCTTGATTGCACTTCAAAGGCACACAGAAAACGCATCTTCACTCTTTCTTCCTTTTTAATTAAGATAACTATAGGTGTAGTAAAGTGCTTTTTTTTTTTTTTTTTGATTTATGTTATTAAGGATGCGGCAATCATTTTCGAAATCTGTCCAGCCCCTTCAAATTTTTTTTTTTTTTTTGGGGGGGTTTTCTACTCTTTGAGGTTCGCGGAATTTAATAATTACAGTTTGGAAATCAAGAAAATGATAATTAAATAAAAAAAGGAAAGATCTTGCAGTTACTGATAGAGCCTCCTACCGCACGATAAACTGTTTAGGAAGTCCTGAATCTCGTTTACCCAACTACGATTTCTTAGATCCCAGAAGACTTGTGCTTTATAAAATATTAATAATAAAAATCGGACTTACTCCGAACTTCACATATACATTATGACCTGGCCATATCCAGTTATTGTGTTTTATCCATTGTTAACCTAAGTTAGTAATAAAAATATACGCGTTCCTAAAGGAAAAACTCTCAAAAACTTTCAAAGGGGCAAATCGTAGTGGGACCTAGAAGGTTTATTGTACTCCTCCAAACTCTTAGGCGATCACGTGAGAGATAGACTATATTGTCTCTGACGTTAGGCAGACGTAGCGTTCGATCTTAATTGATAACCACCTCTTCACACAAAATGTAAAAGAAAGTCTCATCAGCATATTCGTAGGGTGTGCACAAGTTGGTATCTGAGATACCTATGTGGTTCAGGGCATGCTGATGGCCAAACGTAGGTCGCTCGTTCATAATTCCGTTAGCTTACACGTTGTACGGAGTGGTTTTATAAATCGTCTTGTTTACCGTGGTCCTGCATTCGTCTTTCAATGGAAAGCTGATCTTTTCGGTTCCCGCTGCGATCTGAGCACTTTAACGTGACTTTTTGGCATACCACAAAAGGATTAGGGATTTATTATGGTCCTTCAAGCGTCCCTGTTGACTGAACAGTTGTTTACTCCTTGCTATTCGAGTGATCAAATGGTCAAGTACTCTTGGTGAGTGCGCTTCATTGTGCTTTCTGAGCTGGTTCACAGTATCAAGGCACTCCCTCGCAAGACCAGAAAAAATGGTCATATTTCCAGGTTTTTTAAATACAATCATTCAGCAGATGTCCCCTTGTTATGTGACAAGGTAGCAACTGAAAGTAAGAGGAAACTGAAGAGGACCAGGTGCGTTTGATCAATCAATAAATCTTGTGACTTTACCTACATTAAAGTATGCTTTACATTCATTAAAGTATGCTCTACCCTACTGAAATACGAAACCCTAAACACTGACTTGGTAGTCGCTATTCTTTTCTACTCATCTACTCGTCCTCTCTGATCACCTACGTCTAATATCTCTAACGTGTGAACACTTGAAAGGGAAATTCTTGAAATTCCGCTACTTTCTCGCGTATATCCACTAACTCTTCCTAACCATTGTATAAACAATATTTTCACAAGTGATTCTAACGCTTTTATCCTTTGTCCTGGCCTTTTGCCTTAAGAGTTAGTTTACCAATTTTGTGAAAGAATGCATTATTCACTATGCTAGGCTAGGCTAGAAATTTCTTGTCCCTGAAAAATTTTATAAACGAATTACATTTAAAACCTGCTATTGTTTTATCAGACACTGTATATCTACGTGCAAATATGCGATACATACTTTTCATTATAATTGGCTGTGAATGGAAACATTCTCAGAAAAGATTGTTGTTTCTAATTAAAGTTAATGTTCTTTTATGGGATCTTTCGCTTTTAAAACTAAAACGTTTAGAATACAATCAATATTTGGAGAAGTTTCTGTTATCAGTTTTCCTTTATGTCATATATTTTTTAATTACTATTGCAACTTAATTAGACTACGGAAATAAATTTGAGATTGTGCGGACGGGCCTGGAATGCCCATTGCAGTACACTGATCGATATAGAGTCTTTTTTTGCATCGATCCAAGTTTGTCAGTACGTCTGTCCGCCTTTGCTTCTGTTAGCCTTGTATTACTGTGTTTACAGGTCGCAATTTACTTCCTTCGTATAATACTGATCGATTCAGAATCAATTTTTGCACCGATCTAAACTTGTTTGTGCATGTGTTTGCCTTATATTCTCGTGTTTGATTTACGGGTACCAATGTATGAGATATTGTGGTGAAATTTATTATACCGACATGTTTTGACCCCAGGACTAGGTGAGCTAATGACTGTGCAGAGGTAGGTAGGATGCTCAACTGTGGGTCGTGGCCCATTATAATCCTTCTATTTGTTTTTTACTTGATTTTAAAAGAAATGTTAACATAATATATTTATTTCTTTTAAAATTTTTTGTATATATAAAGCAGTTTAGGTTTTCTTCAATAATTTATTTAGTTTATCCTTTATTTATATATGAGAAGTTTCGGATGTGTTTTAATGTATGATGATCG